CCCAATCACAATAGCTTACTCTCAGTATAAGGAAGACCTGACAGAGGACAAGAAGATCTTGTTGGCTGCGATGTGCTTTGTCACCAAAGGAGAGAAGCTCCTGGTGGAGAAGGACATCACTCTGGAGGATGTCATCACCATCAAGGTGAATCCAGTCTGCACCCCCCATTCCTGGAAGTCCCCGTTCACAGCTGAGGGAGGGCATCAGAGGCCGGGGGGGTTGTGCCATGAGCTCTGGCAGTGGAGAGGTGGCATGGATGCAGGGGGATAGATATAATGATGGAGCTCACTGAGGGGGTGGGAGGATGCCATGATTAATGCCCATGCCACGACCCAACCGGCGTCCCAGCCGGGCCCCATAGGTTTCCTGGGGGAGTGTGGAGGAGGAGAAAGATGACTTATGGGTGTTACCCCTCCAGGTGCTGGGCCCAGCCATGGTAGGGGTGGCGGTTGTGGTGAAAGTGACGGTGGTCAACCCCCTCCTGGAGACAGTGGAGGATTGTATGCTGATGGTGGAGGGCAGTGGCCTTCTCCAGGGACAGCTCAGCATTGAGTAAGTATCAGCCTGGGAGTGGAAAGTCCACCTTCCTTATAGGATGGTGAAGCTACCAACAGAGAGGGGTGCGGGAGATACCCTGGACTCCCAGGAACCAGCTCACAGCCTACATCAGCCTTCATTTATGTATCCTTTCCTTCCTTCCTTCCTTCCTTCCTTCCTTCCTTCCTTCCTTCCATCATTAGCTTAGTTGTGGAACTCATCCACTCACTCATTCCCTCATTCATTCACTTCATCTGTCTGCTCAACTCAGTCTTGACTGGTTTCTTCCCCCACTCATTCACGCATGTTCTGTTCATTCATGCACTTGTTGACTTACTCTCAACCATCCACTCCTTCGTTCTTGCATCCACACGCTCCCTCGTTCACATGATCCTTAATCATAATGACCTCTTCTCTGAGCCACGTGTCAACTTTGGGAACACCAAGACGAACAGATGGGGTTCTGCCTGGAGAAGTGTTCTCCTAGACAGGTGGTCCTTCAAATGAAGATACGTGTGATTTGTGCAGAGGAATGGATCTCCAGGGTCCAGAGAATCAGGAGTAGCCCTTAATTGGGGATGAGGTGGAACCAGGGAAAAGCTGCAGTGGAGCTGATATTTGAGCTGGGCCTTGAATGCTGACTTGAGAAGTTTTCAGGTACCAAGAAGCATGGAGGGTTTCCCAGTCAGAGGTCTCAATGGCTGGTATTGTCGGGGAGGGTCTCCTGGAAGAAGAGACACTTGATCTGGCCCTTGGTTGTGATCGGAATAGAAAGGGCAACCTAGGTGGGAGGAACAGTGCGGACAAAAGCCCAGAGAGAGGAAGTGTAAGGTAAGTTCAGGGCACAGGGAGGAGACAAGCCTGGTTGGGTGGAAAGAGGTGAGAAGTGGTGGAAGGGAAAATTATGCTGGAAGCCTACTGGTGAGGCTTAAATGTCAAGTCTCAAGGTGTGTCCTTGATCCCAAGGGCTCTGGAGAGGGCAGGCCAGGTTCAGAAGGAGAGGGGGCTGATGGTCTGCCTTTCTCCCATCCGCTTTCCCCAGTGTGCCCAGCCTGGAGCCTCAGGAGAGGGCCTCGGTCCAGTTCAACATCACCCCCTCCAAGAGCGGCCCAAGGCAGCTGCAGGTGGACCTCGTCAGCCCCTACTTCCCAGACATCAAAGGCTTTGTGATCATCCACGTGGCCACAGCCAAGTGACTGGCCACCACCAGGGGCTGAGAGGGGAGGAGATGGTCCCTGGTCCCTCCCTGTCCACCTCTCTGCCTCTCCTGCGTGGGAGCCAGGAGGCCTGGGTTCCAGTCCTGCTTCGGTTTCTGCCCCACTTTGCGAACATGGGCAAGTCCCTTCTTCTCTTGGGCCTGTTTCCCCGTCTGTGAAACAAGGTGTTAGACTCAGCAATCCTTAAACTTTTGGACGATGAGTGATGTTGGGAACCTCTTCCCCCGTCATCCATCACTGTCATTGCCGGGAGGCTGATCAATCATCACGGTGACCGTGGCCCACCCAGCTCTGCCACCCCTGCCCTGCCAGCCCACCATCACCCTGGCCGACCCCTGGGTTCTCCTTGCTTCCATCTCAGGTCCTCAACCCTCTGACCAGATCCAGATCCAAGAATGTCCTCCCAGCGTTGAAGAGGAACCCGAAAGTGTTAGAGCTGACACCCACACATCCCTCCACACTCCCATTTTACGTAGAGGGAAGAGCCTTGTCCACAGCCATAGGGGAGCTACAGACAGAATTGGGGTCCGCGTGGATGCCATTTCTACCACCAAAGTGTTACTCCCAAAGTCATGTTCTGGAAATCATTAGATTTGAAGCAATGGGAGATGTTCCCTCAGTGAAGACCCACGACCAGCACCTGCGGACAGCAGGAGAGAGGCCATCAAGCTCGGATTGCATTTGAGGATGAAACCCCAAATCTGATCCCATCACGGTCATCAGGGGCCTCCTACCACCAGCCCAGGGGTTATTTACTTTCTGAAAATGGAAACAGTGTTAACTTTGCAAAACACCCCCAGCCGCTTACTACACACGACCCTGTTCTTGGCATCAAAACAGGACAGAGATTTCTGGAACGAGGACTGGAGTAGAGACCACCAGGACCTGAGGACAACTGCACAGGTCAGAGAAATCAGCTTGAAATGTCCCAGACAGTCAAAAGAATTACGATTAGTCATGGAATTTAAGTCATCTGAACACCAAAACAGGCAGTGAGATACCTCCTGAATACGGACTTCCGTGGAAACAATTTATGTGGTGAGTCTTTGCTAAAAGGGCGTCAGGCAAACACACAGACAGTGAGGGGTGGGTGATCCTTGTGACCAAGGCTTCAGTGAAGGCATTTCTCTGACGAGTCTACACAGCAGAACAGCTTAGAGAACCCAGATGCGTGGAGGACCCCCTTTCCAAGCCTAGGTTTTGGATGCTCATCCTGTCCATGTAAGAGGGGCAGCTGGAGGTTCAGAAGAGGCAGCCATTTCCTCAGGATTGAGCAGCAGGAAGGGGTACTGGGGGCTCAGTACAACAGAGCGGATCTCCCACGCTTAGTAAAAGGGACGCTCCTTTCAGCAGGGAGACCAAGATGGTCTCCCCCCCACAGTGGCCCCAGACACCCCATCCTTGAAGCAAGTGCCGACTGCCCATCTTCCTCAGGCTTGGCTGAACCAAGTTTCACGTCCCAGGAGGCTGACCCTCTGAGTTGGAGTGTAGGGTGCAGGACATTTAGTAAGGAATGACCTGGGGGTCAACACAGTGGAAGGGAGGGGGACGAAGCAGGATAGGCAGAGAGAGGAAGAGAGTGCTGATGCTGGCCCAGTGCCAGCTGGGGACCACCCCACGGGCAGCTGTGGAGCTAACATGGCCTTTTGAGAGTTGTCCTAAGTTGGGCCAAGATGGCTGGGCCTTCCTACGCCTGCATCCGTCGCCGATTGGCTCCCGAAGAGGTGTGACTTTGGGCAAGATAGCTCCCGACAGTGGAGGCCATCCCTGAGGGGGTTGACAGTGACGGTCATCTGCAGGCAGCACCCCCAGCAGTTGGTGCAACAAGCCGTCCACTGAAGGAAGGTCTGGACAATGTGTCGCCACGTCCACCTGCATTCTGTCCAACCCAGGGACAGAGCAGTAACATTACAAGGTCCCTCTGCCCAGGGCGATGACTTTCCGGCCTGCGGACACAGGTATTCAATCACAGCACCTTAAAGGGTGCGAAAAGTAAAAGGAGACCTAAGAGGAAACAAGCAAACAAATCTGTAAATAAGCTAATTACATGTCCCCGAGGCGTGGGGGCTAGGATGGCACCTGTCCCCATGGCAGCATCAGAGAAAGACTCCCCGAGGAAGTGGTATCCAAGCTCACATTTTAATAGTAACAAAACTAATGATTAAAAATCGAATCCGTGTTCTTACTTAAGAAAAGTAAAAAATCGAAGGGATGTCTGAAGGCTTATCCACTCACGTTTCTGGCCATGGATGCTGGCTGTTGGCCAAGCACCACGCTGGGCTGTCAGCCAGGACGCCCACCTATAGCTTCTCCACGTGGCCTGGGTTTCCCCACAACACAGTAGAAGGGCAAGCATCTCAAGAGAGTCAGACGGAAGCCATATTGCCCTTATGCCTTGGGGTTAGAGGTCATCCAGTGCCACTTCTGCCACATCCTGTTCGTCAAGGCACTTACAGAGTTCCTCCAAGTTTCAAGAAGAAATAGACCCAGCTCATGATTTAAAAAAAAAAAAAAAAAAAAAAAGGTGCAAAGATTCTGGAAGAGCTTGGCGTACCGAAAATATCGCCGTAGATATTTCTGGAAAGACACAATCTGCCGTGCCGTCTCGGGCTGCCTACTTCTTGACCCTCTGAAGACTCGTCGAATCCCCTATTTCCCGATGTCTGCTCCGTGTCTTACTATCTTCTCCAGGTTGCCCTTAATTTCTACCCCATCCCCTTTGCCTAAGCCGACAAGGATCAGTTTCTTCCGCTTGCAGCCAAGAAGTCTGATTCATGGAGACGCTGAGGCCAAAACGACCTTGTCCTGGGACACCCCGGGAACAAAGTGAAGGCCAATGTGCCCAAAGTGTCTTGCAGCTCACTACCTTCTTGATATGGGTCAGCAGCCCTAACCTTCAGTCTCGAGATGGTAACCGACAAGGGAGATTCAGAGGCCAGTACCTTGACCCTGACCCCTCCAATAGCTTCCCCTTCACGTTATCTTTGCCTCTGCCACAGGCCTAAGAGACTGTCCCCGCAAAAGATCCCTGGTCTCCTCTTCACTGGCGAGGCTTGGTGGGTTACGAGACTATTTCCCAAACCGAAGCAGGCAAGGTGGAAAAGTGGTTGTGGTAATGGGGGTGCTTGTGTGAGCCGGGGTTCTCGCGAGAAACAGAACCAACGGGATGTATATATCAGACCCGTCTGCCTCCAGAATCATGGGAACCAATATTTTAATCAGCTGTACTCCTGTGGACTCTCATCGAACAATCCAAACCAAATTTATTTTTAATTTACATTTACAGTCCATAAACATGAAATATTTAGATGTCAATCTAACAAAACGTATGGATTTCCGTGCGGAAAACTAAAAAATACTGATGAGGGAAACAAAGGCAGATTTAAATAAATGGAGAGACATCTCTTTTTCATGAATGGGAAGATTCAGCAGAGTTAAGTCAGTTATCCCCAAATTGATATACAGGTTTAATGCAACTCCCATCAAAATCTCAGCAAGAAAACCTGATAAATTGGACTTCATCACAATTCAAAATGTGTGCGTCCGCGAGAGATCCTGTGGAAAGAATGAAAGACAAGCTACATACTGGGGGAAAAAAACGTTTGCAAACCACGTATCTGACAGAGAACTAGAATCCAGGATACATAAAGAACTCTCAGAATCCAACAGTAAAAAGCAATCTAAGAAAATGGGCAAAAGACATAACCTTTTCGATGAAGAGGATATACAGATGGCAAAAAAACAAACAAACAAAAAAAAAACCATGAAAGGATATTCAATATTATCAGCCACTAGGGAAACGCAAATTAAAACCACAATGAGATGTCACTATATACCAACATAATTGCTGACGTTTTAAAAAGGTGACAATGCCAAGTGCTGGTAAGGAGAATCTTGATCACTCTTACCTTGCTGGAATAAATGTAAAATGTTGCAGCCACTGTGGAAAATAATTTGGTGGTTTCGGAAGGAAGGAAGGAAGGAAGGAAGGAAGGAAGGAGGGAGGGAAGGAGGGAGGGAGGGAGGAAGGAAGGGAGGGAGGAAGGAAGAAAAGAAGGGGGAGGAAGAAAGACAGGGAAGGAGGAATATGCCACTAAGATACAAGCAAGCAATCACACTCCTGGGCATTTATTCCAGGAAGTGAAACTTGTGTGCATATAAACATCTGTGCATGGATGTTTAGCAGTTTTATTTGTAGCAGCCCCAAGCTGGAAACAACCTAGATGTCCTTTCATTGCTAAGTAATTCAACAATTGGGGTGCCTCCATGGCTCAGTTGGTTAAGCATCCGACTCTTGACTTTGACTCAGGTCATGATCTCACAGTTTGGGAGTTCAAGCCCCACATGGGGCTCTGCACTGACAGCGCAGAGTCTGCTTGGGATTCTTCGCTCTCTCTCTCTCTCCCTCTCTCTCTCTCTCTCTGCCCCTCCCCTGATTGCTCTCTCTCTCTCAAAATAAATCAATAAATAAACTTTGAAAACAAAAACAAAAAACAGTGGTCCATCTATAGCATGGAATACTACTCAGAGATAAAAAGGGATGAACAAAGGATACCTACACAATCTGGAGGAATCCCCATAGAATTATGCCGAATTAAAAAAAAAAAAAAGCCAATTCTAATAGGTGACACAGTATAGGATTCCATTTCTAGAACTTTCTTGAAATGACAAAATTCTAGAAAGGGAGAACAGATTAGTGGTTGCCTGAAGTTAAGGAGGACTGAAGGCGAGAGAGAGTCAATGTGGCTGTAACAGGGCAACACAAGCATCCCCGTGATGATGCGAATGTGGACTCTCTGAACTCTGTCACCGCCAGTATCCTAGTTGGGAGGCCGTCCTACGGTTTTGCAAGATGTTACCATTGGGGCAAACTGGCTAAAGAGTACCTGGGATCTTTCTGTGTTGTTTCTTACGACTGCACGTGAATTATTATTATCTCAAAATAAAAAGTTTAAAAAAAATTAATGGATAGAGGTTTGCTTTATTGTGTAGCATATCATCCACTCTCAAGAATGTTACCGTGTGCTTGAGAAGGAGGTGTATTCCGGGGGGCGCCTGGGGGGCTCAGTCGGTTAAAGTGTCTGACTCTCGGTTTCAGCCCAGGTCATGATCTCACGGTTCGTGGGTTCGAGCCCCACATCCGGCTCTGTGCTGGCAGCGAGGAGCCTCCTTCGGATTCTCTCTCTCTCCCTCTCTCTCTGCCCCTTCAGCTCTCTCTCTCTCTCTCTCAAAATACATACACTTAACCAAAAAACAACTGTGTATTCTGTTGTTGTTGGACAGGGTGTCCTATAGATCTGTTAGGCCAGTGAATTGATAAGAGCAGCTTTGAAGTCTTTGCTCAGAGATTGTGTGTATTGACTGTTGTTGTTTTTTACCCCTGGGGGGGGTGCGGGGAGAAGGGAGGTCACATTTTCCTAGCTTGTGTGTGTGTGCGTGTGTGTATATGTGTGTGCACGCGCGTTGCAGGTCTTATAAATTTTACATCAGATAATGCTCTCACATTGAATTCTGATCCCTCCCGGGAGAGGCAATTGTTACCGCTGTTTATTTGCTTCTTTGTGTCCTTGATGTGTTTGCCTGGATTCATTCTATGAAGTCTATTTCCCTTGCATTGTGTGGTGACTGATTTCTCCACTTGGAGTTTGGGGGTGTTGTGTTTTTGATCCTTGTTTTTAAGTCTGACTTCTTAGAGGTCATCCCTGGGTCAGCAGATTAGTCAAGAGCTTGCGCTGAAACACCTTGAGCGGCGGGGCTCCTAGTCTTTGCTAATGAATCTGTGGGTGGTTTCAGGAATGCAAAATTCGGGCAGTTTACAAGTGGGCCCCATCTTTTAAGTTCTGTGTTTACAACACCTCAGGGTCAACCAGCAGGGAACAGCTGGCCGGTGTGCCCTCTGATCTCCCTTTAGGTGATCACAGCCTTGGGTATGACCTCAGCCTTCCAGCCCACAAGGGATTTAAGTAGGATCTTAATCAAGACCCACTCTGGCTGCCTCCTTCCCAGATATCCATTGTTAATTTTTTTATGTTTATTTATTTTTGAGAGAGAGAGAACCTGAGCAGGGGAGGGGTTAGAGAGAGAGGAGACACAGAATCCGAAGCAGGCTCCAGGCTCTGAGCTGTCAGCAACAGAGCCCAACTTGGGCTCATACCCATGAACCATGAGCTCATGGCCTGAGCCGATGTCGGTCACCTAACCGACTAAGCCACCCAAGGTGCCCCTCGTTGTTAAACTTCTGGCTGGTCTACCAGTCTGCTGCTTGCCCCAACCAGTATGGACGTCATGTCTTACGACTGTGACGTTGGCCTTGCCTGATAGTTTGCCACTGATCTTGCTGTTGGGTTTGAGACCAACCCTGAGCATGTAGTTTTCTGCCCTTTTCTACAAAAAAGTCTGGCCCTTTCACCCACAGAGCTGCAATCCTCATGACCTGCCTCGCCCCGGTAGCACCACAGAGCTGGGGGTAGGGAGACCAGCTGCTCTGAGCTGAAATGCCGTGGATTCCTGCTAGATTTTCTTAAATAAATGCTTCTCAATTTGTGTCTATTTTAACGCATCCAAAACCGAATCCCTGATTCCCGTCGCCTCCCACGGCAGATGGGAACTCCCTCCTTACAGCCTTTCAGGTCAAAAACCCTTTGGAGTTATTCTTTACCCGTTTTTCCCTCCCGTCTCATGACATCCAAGGCAAATCCTGTGGGCTCCACCTTCGAAAGGTACAGAATTCATATGCCTTTTGACTCCACCACCAAAAGCCTACTCAGATCCCAGCCGTGGCCATTTTTTGCTTAGACTATTACCGTCGCCTTCCCGCTGGTTCCCCTGCCTCTGCTCCTGCTTGCCTTCTCTCCTTCCTCCCCGAGGCCATCAGGGGAGCCTTCCAAATCTAAGTCACGTCTTGTCATCCCTTTGTTCACACCCCCTCCATGGGCGCCCCATCTCACACAGAGTGAAAGCAAGGGTCCTCTGGCGCCCCCTTGGCTGCTCTCTGGCTTCTCCTATCATTCTCGTACTTACCACTCCTCCAGAGCCAGAGTGAGTGGATCAGTCAGGAGCTACCATGCTGAATCTGTATGGGGAAAGTATAATATAAAGAATTAATGACTCTAACGAGGGTGGAGTAATCGGAGATTGGCTAATAAGAAATAAAGAGCCCAACAGGGGCACCTGGGTGGCTCAGTCGGTTAAGCGTCCGACTTCGGCTCAGGTCATGATCTCGCGGTCTGTGAGTTTGAGCCCTGTGTCGGGCTCTGGGCTGATGGCTCAGAGCCTGGAGCCTGCTTCTGATTCTGTGTCTCCCTCTCTCTCTGACCCTCCCCCGTTCATGCTCTGTCTCTCTCTCTCTCAAAAATAAACTTAAAAGAAATTTTAAAAAAAATTAAAAAAAAAAAAAAAGAAAGAAAGAGCCCTCCAAAAAATTTAGGAATTTCATATTTAACAAGAGGCTGCTAGCCCTAGGCTGGAGAGAGCCCCAGGAAGAGCCCACTACCCCCCCCCCCAACGCCCCACCCCCACCAACAAGGTCGAGATCACGTCTACTGGGGAGAATATGCTATGGCTGAACATTGGCAGAGAAGTCACTGTGGTGCTTCACTAGTGGAAGTTGCTGGAAATCTGCCCTCTCCGGGTGCAAGGGAGAGCCATTCATGGTGAGGTATCTCCCTCGAAATGCTCTTACAAAACCGTCCAAGACAGGTGCCTGGCGAGGCTGCTGGTCACGGGGTGCTTGCCGATGGCCGGTGCATTGCAGGCGCCAGTGCTAACAAAGCCATCTTCCCTGCTGAAGCCTGGTGCTGCCGAGACCACCGGGGCTGTGGGAGCCGGGCCCTGGGGAAGCAATGGAAACTGCAGAAGCCCGCCGAGAGCACGCCGGAAGCGAGAAAGCAAGCCCTCTTCATCCTGCAGTGTCTCTCCGGCGCCCTCTACTGACAAAGGTGGGTTTGGAGCCGAGATGGAATAAATTTGTAACTGGGTCTGTGACCTTCTTGACGTTTTCTGAAAAATACAGAGCGCTCCGACCTCAGTGCCTTGGCAGTCTCTGTACCACCCACCTGGAACCCTTAGGGTCCATCCCCAACCAACACCTACCAGGTTTGCTCCCTTATTCTAACAGGTTTCTGCTCAAACTGCTCTTTATCAGAAGACGGTCCCTGACCACCCTAATGAAATAGTACCATGTTCACAGCACTTTGCATCTCCCTTTCTGATTTGTTTTCCTCCGTAGCAATTGTTGCCATTAGACATAATTTACTTACATGTTTATTATTTAGTGTCCATCTCCCTCTTGGAGAATGTAAGTCCATCAAGTACAGAGAATTCTCCTATTTTGTTCATTCTTATACCCAGCAGAGTTGAATAGATCAGTGCCTAGTACATAGGAGGCATGCAGTAAATACTTATTGAATGAATGAATGAATGAATGAATTATAGTAAATCAGAAACATACAGAAAGAGGGGCGCCTGGGTGGCTCAGTCGGTTGAGTGTCCGACTTCAGCTCTGGTCATGACCTCATGGCTTGTGAGTTCGAGCCTCATGTCAGGCCCTGTGCTGACAGCTCAGAGCCTGGAACCTGCTTCGGATTCTGTCTCCTTCTCTCTCTGCCCCTCCCCCACTTGTGCTCTCTCTCTCTCAAAAATAAATAAATGTAAAAAAAAAAAAAAAACATACAGAATGAGTAGGGAAAATACCAGCCAGAGTCTCCTCGCCTAGACACTACCACAGTTAGCATAGTGGGAAGCTTCCTTTTACATTTTCCCCCAATGAAAATTTCATTTTAATTTTTATAGGGGCTTAACATGCATACAAAAATGTATTCATATCAAAAGTGTGCAGCACTGCTGCATTTTCACAAACAACCCACTTAGGTAACCGGCGCCCAGATCAAGAAATAGAATATTCCCAGCACCCTAGAAGCTCCCTTTGTGTCCCCTCCCGGAGTAACCATAATCCTAAATTGTGGAAGCAAAGATTAGTGTTTGTGCTTTATATGAATGGAATTGCACATATGTATCTTTTATTTGGCCCTGACTCCTGTCACTTGACATTTCGAATAGAAGATTCATCTATATTGCTGCGAATTATTGTAGATCTGTCATATTCTTTGATGTGCAATATTGCACGGTGTGGGTATACTGCAATTTATCTTTCCTATCTTTCAAACTGTATACTACAATTTATGCTGCTTACTGTCGATGGATATTTAGGTGGTTTCCAGTTTGGGCTATTGTGTATGAATAGGGTTGCTATCTATATACGTTCTTGTGTATTTCTTTTTGTGAGCATATGCCAGCATTTCTGTTGGGTACACATCTACGAGTGGAAATGCTGGATCATAGAACATGCATATGTTCAGCTTTACCAGCCAGCCTCCCCACCCCACACCCCAGGGATATTCTCTCTCCTTCATGTCAACAAGCATTCCCTGACATAACACATGTGAAGCACCAGCACTATGCAAGGCCCGCAATACAAGGCATTCTGGAAATGAGCATGTTCTATCTTTGACTTCATGCAAAGCACTGTAGCTAATCCACCGGGATGAAAAAAACAAGCCACATCCTACATAAGAGTAGCCAAACCCTGTAACTATAGATCCCACTCCTGAAAAAAAATATCCTAGGGTTATATTCAAAAGAAAAAAATCCCTTTACAAAGTTAAAATTGAAAGACTCAAGAACAATACTAATGACAAGTATTTACCGGCTTCCTTTGTGCTAACCTTATTATGTATATTATATAACGTCGTCTAATCTTCAGTGAGGTGCTGTTCCATCACCCTGTAATACAAAGTCCAATTTCATTTTTTTATGTTTCACTGCTAACAGCTTTGAAGCCCACAAGAAAGCCTTTGGGCTCCCTCCCTTGGCACGTGTGGTCCCTCTCAAGGGACCCTCACCACAGCCCCACCCTGTAAGCACAATAAAATGGGACAGTCACCTCTCCTTGCTCTCTCAAGCCATTTTCACACCTGCTTAGGAGCCTGCCAGCTCTGCCACAAAAGCCACTTTATGTCAACAATAAAAATTTTCATATCCCCTTGATGTGTGTGTAGGGTCATCAGTCCCAGCTATTCAATCAAATTTGGATGGGAGGGGTGTCAATCCCCCCAACAAGACAACGCTGGCATTTTACAAATGAGGAAACCAGAGCCTAGAAAATTTATTTATCTTTCATTCATTCAACATGTGTGGAGTGCACAAAGCCATGGGAAACAACGTGGATGAATTTCCTGCCCTCGTTAGAGTGGGAAGAGTCTCTCACAAAAAAATAAATATATGAAAACATCACTATCCTTCCTTCTAACTATTTACTAATTAAAACAAGCCTTTTTTTTTTTTTTTTAATTTATCAGATTGAACAAGATCTAACAATGTGTCAACACACCGACTCGGCAAGGACGTGAGAAACAGGCACCTGCCTACACTGTTACAAACGGTGCAAGATAACACAATTGGAGGGTTATTTATTTGGTGTATCTATCAGCATTTTAAGCGTATCCATTCTCTTCTTTGGTAATCTACTTTCAGGAATTTATACACACGTACAGAGGCATGGCCCACAGCCAAAGAGGGGCAGGGCTTGACACTTCCTCCTTTGCTTAAATAAAGTGTAGTTTATCTCCGTGTGGGTCTTTGTAGAAAATCAGAACAATACAGAAGATGAGGAAGAAAAAAGATCAACCCACAATCCCAGCACAGGTGCAAGACTGAGCTCAGACACTGGAGGCTCCCTTCCTGACAGAGCAATGCTGCCTCCTGGTGGATTTGTTTTTAAGTACACTCATTATTCGCCATTTTTAACGTTTAAAACGTACTGAATTTTTTTAATGAGGTAATGAGCTCACATGGTTCGTAGTTTAAATGTTCTACATGGTATACAGTGGGATCTTCCTTTCATGTCTGTTCCCCTGGGACTAGATTCCTTTCCCTACAGGCAACCTAACTGGCTGAGCCCAGTACATAGCTCCTCCAGAGGGTGTAGGCACACACCCCCATTCAGTAAACGAGAACTTCCTTCTTTCTAGTGCCCGCCTTTGAATCATGAGTATTTCTCCTAAAAACTTACAAAATCCAAAGAGAAAGTATTTCTACACGCAATATTCATTACTGCCTGGTTGTAGTCATGAAAAATCAGAAATAATATGAATTCCCAAAATAAGAAGGATCAGGTGACATCCATCCATCATCATTCTTAGGACTTAGGTAATAACAGGAAAACGTCTATCACAAAAGTTCTTTTTTTTTTTTTTTTTTAATTTATTTTTGGGACAGAGAGAGACAGAGCATGAACGGGGGACGGGCAGAGAGAGAGGGAGGCACAGAATCGGAAACAGGCTCCAGGCCCTGAGCCATCAGCCCAGAGCCCGACGCGGGGCTCAAACTCACGGACCGCGAGATCGTGACCTGGCTGAAGTCGGACGCTTAACCGACTGCGCCACCCAGGCGCCCCCAAAAGTTCTTTTAAAGACATACACAAAAGAGGAAATTGATAATTTAAGCTGCCTGGGTAGCTCAGCTGGTTGACTGTTCGACTCAATTTTGGCTCAGGTCATGATCCCAGGATCATGGGATCCAGCCCCTCACTGGGCTCTAAGCAGAACATGGAACCTGTATTGTATTCTTAGCCTGAGCTGGAAGGCATTCCCTCTCTCCCTCTCTCCCTCTGCTCCTCTCCCATACTGGCACTAAATAAATAAATAAATAAATAAATAAATAAATAAAACCTACCACTTTGACAAAAATAAAGAAAAAGAAATCCCCCCCCTTGGAAATAAAAAGAACACAATGACATAACAACGATATACCATTTTCAGGAGTGTATTTCTTCTTAATGACAATTATCAATTCTCAGGAGGATTCTGTGAAAAGTGTAGTCGTGTGTTTTGGAACAGGACAAATCAACTCGGGTTTTAATAACGTTAACGAAAACATTTGCAACCTTTGACTCAGAAACTCCTTTTGAATTACCTAAAAACAGAATGATCTTTATGCACAAGTACGATTATCATGTTATTGGACAGTGAAAACGCTAAATGTCCAACTGCAAAGATCTGGTTAAGTAAACAGTGATATGTTCAGTGTTCCCTTAATGAGACACTAAAGTCATTATAATGTTTGCAAAGATCTGGAGATGTTCTGATGTTAAAACAAACAGAAAGTTGAGGCTATAGCAAGATCACAAAACCCAAGGAGGCAAAGATTCACGTTGAACGTTAAGAGTGCTAGGACCGA